TAACTTAAAGTCATCAATCCTTATTCTGTTGTCCTTATTTATTATCCAGCTCTCTGATGCATGGCAAGTAATTGTGAAGGCCATGACCTGTATCATGAGCACTAATGAGTGAATACCAGGTGAACTGTGGGAGGATATCAAGAGTACTATTCATGAAAAATGCAAAAAGTCATTAAAAAGACAGAGGAGTTTAAAAGAACAAGATGAATGAGATAAAAAGACTCTGAATATTGAACTACAATGCAAGAGAAGAAATCAAGAAGTTAAGGAGCTGAACGGAAGATTTCAAAAGGCAGCATGGGAAGACAAAACAAAGTATTATAATGAAATGTGCTAGAAGCTGGAGTCGGAAAATTGAATGAGATGAATTTGCTCGGCATTTCTTAAGCTGAAGGAACTGAAAAGCAAATCCAGGATGTTGATGATAGAAGCAGAATGACCCAGGAAACACCAAAAGAAGATGAAAGGAGCACACAGAAGCACTATACCAAAAAGAATTGACTGATAATGAAGAATTTCATGAAATAACTTATGACCAAGAGCCTATTGTGATATGGGAGGAAGTTCAAGCTATTCTGAAGGAACTTGCAAATAACAAGGCTCCAGGAATTGATGGACTACTTATCTACAACTGTTGACATTTATCAAAGCTCATAGAGTTCCTGGAGGCATGTTGTTTAGAAAGTGTATGCCACTCCTACTTTCTTTGAAAAGGCATAGTAGACAAGATATAACCTTGATGCACACCTTGATCCTGAACCAGACAGTATTTCCTGCTCTATTCTGACTACTGCTTACTGGTCCAAGTATAGGTTTCAGAAGAGTACAATCAGGAGTTCTCAAGGTTAACCACAATTTGTTATGATCCACACAGTCAAATGCTTTTGCATAGTCAACAAAACACAGCATTCCTCTGGTACTATCTGCTCTCAGTCAAGATTCACCTATCATTGGCTATGAGGTCCCTAGAGCCACAGACCCTTCTAAATCCCATCCAGTACATCTGGCAGTTCTCTGCTGATGTACTATTCCATTTATTTCTAGATAATTTTCAGCAGGATCTTGCTTGCATGTGATATTAGTGTAATCATTTGGTAATATTCACACTGTTTGGTTAGCTTTAGAAAAAATGGGGGGAAATAAACCCAAAACCGATCTCTTCAGTTGGCCAGGTAGTTTTCCTCCAGATTTCTTGGCATAACCTGGTTAGTGCTTCCAGTTTAGCATCTATTAGCATCTGGTGGCCTAGAGGAAAGAAGCTGCACTGCAATCGGGAAGGCATGTGGTTTTGAGGTCACCAGCTGCTCCATAGGAGAAGAATGGGCAGTCTCCTCCTGTCCAATTAACTGCCTCTGAAAACCCACTAGAGGGTCAGCTATGGGTCAATTCTGACTTGATGGTAAATAACAACATGTTCTTAGTATCAAAAAATTGTATGTGTCCTGTTACCATCCAGTTTATTTCAAAATATAACTTTGAATGATAATGTTATTATGTCTATATAGTCATAAAAAGATCTTTGCTTCAATAGCTGAGATAATCCAATTTTTAAAGGTCAGTGTTGCTTTTCTTGTTTTAACAAGCCATTAATTGTATCTATTTTTGTTTCTTTGTTGCTGTTGTTGTTATGTGCCATTGAGTCATCTGTGACTCCCAGCCACCCTATGTACATTTGCTGTGAAACTTGCTCTAGCCTGAGCCAATGTTGTCCTCTCTGACAGACCTAATCTCATCTCTCCAGTCACTGAATCAATCCATTTTATCCTGGGTCTTTCTCTCCTGAGCTGTCCCTCCAACCTTCAAATCATTATATCCCTTTCCAAGGACCACTCCGTCATGGCTATGTGCCCAAAGTATGTGAGATGGAAACTCAAAATCCTTGCCTCCAGAGAGCAACCCAGTTTCACTTTGTCCAGGACAGACCTGGTTTTTTTTTGTTTTGTTTTTTTCCCCTTGGAAGTCCACAATGCACTCTTCTCCAGCAGCACAACTCAAAGGCATCAATCTTTCTATCATCCTTAGTTATATTGTTCAGCTCTTGGATACATAGCAAGTAATTGTGAAGGCCGTGGCTTGGATCAAATGCATCTTAGTCTCCAGACTGACATCATTGCTCTTCAGTACTCTAGAAAGGTCACTGACAGCATACTTTCCCAATGCAATAAATCTTTTGATTTTCTGACTGCTGATGCCAACAGTGTTGACTGTGGAACCAATTAAACTGAAGTTATCAACAATCTCAATATCTTTTCTCTCCATCATGAAGTTGCCTGTTGGCCCAGTGGTGAGAATCTTTATTTACTTCACATATATTGTGGGATTTTTTTGTTCCAGTGTACAATCATCTTACTAAGAACTACATAAAAGAAAGTGTGTAAGCCACCTACTTCATGTCTCATGACCTAGTTATATCCCTCTTTTATATAGCATATTACTGATTTGCCCATCCCTATCAATCTGGTACTCTGAGGGAACAAGCATGCACCTTTTGTTGAAGAATCTTTCAACTTGGAAACTTTGAGCATCTATATCCACAAGCAAAGTCCAGTCCAGAGCACCCATCAGGTTTCAGCAGTCAACCTTTAGGTTACAACATAGATCACCTTCTGTTTATCTGATTGGGTTCTGATCAACTCATTCCCATCCGTGACTTGGTTCATAGAGTCATCAGCTGTAAGCTCAGAAGTTTACACTTTCCTTGCAATCCAGACCTTTTGGTCTCCTTACTCACCTCACTGGCTGATTTTTAAGAGTTCTATCATTGGGCATTTTCTCCTTGGGCATCTACCCTGAACAATCAGCCTTTCAGTAGCAACTGAGTGCTTCTGTGAGGCAACACTTCTCCTTTAAATAGGAAGAAAATTATAGGTTCAGGACTTCATTTTCTGTCTTTCTTTTCTCTTGGTTGCCTTTATTACCCTCTGAGCCAGTATTTGCACCACCCAGAGACTACAGAGGAATGTCAAAGGGCAGACAGACTTAACTCTGCCCTCCAGTCATTTCAAACTCATAGCAAAACTCTATCAGGCTACCTGGGATGTGAATCCTAACAGGAGGAGGTGGACCATCTTTCTCCCTCAGAGATACGGAAAGATTTAAACAACCATAGAGAGCTCTGCCATTGATTGGGTTAACAGTACAACCCCCCCCCCCATAGAGTATACCACCAGAACTCTCTTCTGAGGAATGTAGAATGAGGTGTAATACTGATAGAAAGGATTAGGTAAGATTCATGAAGGATTTCTTCACAGGGAGGGTCTTTCAGTTTGAAAGAACTATGTAAGGAAGGCACAGAAGACCAAAACTACCAGGATATCATCTAGTTATAAAAAGACATGAATAGTGTATGAGGGAATAAAAGAATACTTTTTCAAAATTGTTTTTAAATCATAGCTCCTATGAAAAAGAAAGAAAGGAGAGGATGATGCATCTGTACTCCTGATTACCTTGTATTTACCATTAAATATTGGGTTCACTGTCCTCTTTATGTATTAGTCCAATGCTGGCACAATTTTAGTCTCCTCAAATCACATTCTATGCTCTTTTTGCCTCCTTTCACCTCTCACCGACTCCCTGGTGGAGTAGTGCATTATGTGTTGTTGCTGTTAACCAAAAGTTTGACTGACTCTCTGGGGAGAAAGCCGGACAGGCTCCTTCTGTAAAGATTTCCAGAAAGTCTTTGCAATGAAGGATCACCATGAATTATAACTGATGCCATGACAGTGAGGGAGCTGTGGTGGCCTAGTGTTAAGAAGCTGTGCTGCAATCCCAAAGGCACGTAGTTCAAATTCACCAGCTGCTCTGGAGAGGCTCGGCAGTCTCCTCTTGTGGGATTGACTGCCTTTGAGAACCCACCAGAGGGTCATCTATGGGTCAGTTCTGACTTGGTGGTACACAACGGCAGCGACAGCAACAATGATGGTGAGTTTGGTTTGTGAGGTACTCACAAAGTATATGCATGTGTCTGAATTTTGTTTAAAACAACACAAAAAAACAACCAAAAGTGCATTGCTATAGTATGAGATCCAAGTCATAGATGACTTTCCAGTCCATTTTCAGAAATTATAAATCACATAGTAGGTGTTTATCTTTCTCCTACGGAGCACACGGTGGTGTTTAACGTCCTGCCTTTGGGTTGGCAGCACAGATCTTACCCACTAGACTGCCACATCTCTTTGGAGGATACCTGCTGTTGTGAGTTGCTGTCCTAGCCACCCGATGAACAACCGATCTGAACCTTACCCTTTTGTGTCCCATTTTCACCATCTCTGATATGCGTGAGCCCATTGTTAAAATCACTTTGTCAATCCATCTTGTTGAGGGGCTTCCACTCTTTCACTGACCTTCCAT